ACCCACCGACCCGGCACTGCATCTAAAACTTATAGGTGGCCACTCTTCCTGGTTTTGGTTTGGAAAGTGACAGCTTTATACTCTTGGGAGGAGGGATCAAGTGAGAAATGGGAGTTATTACTGCTTACTGTTGGTCTTTTTTTCGTTTTTTTTTAGGTGAGGCAACCCACGGTTGACCTCACAGATTGCAAGGACCTCGTCAGTTTACAATCCCTTATTTTTAGTTTTTTATTTTTTATGCCTACAGCACCTGGTCTTCCTAGGTGGTCTCCCATCCAAGTACTAACCAGGCCCGACCCTGCTTAGCTTCTGAGATCAGACCGGATCGGGCTTGTTCAGGGTGGCATGGCCGTAGACCCGTTGGTCATTTTAAGATCCTTTCATCCTAAGACTTAATTGGGATTCTTCAGAGGAATTAGAACTTTAAGGAATATGAAAGAAGGGATTATTCTGAAGAACAGACAAAGGACTCTGGGAGTCCCACGTAAATTGTAGATGTGGAGTGTTCCAGTTAGCAAAAGCCAGCAGGATCAGAGGGACAGCGGGGGAAGGACAAAGAGCAAAGGCTAGGATCCCAGTGCCCAGATGGTCAGTGTTATGATGGCTGGAGTTAAGCCACTGAGCATGACAGTGGCAGGTAGGCATTTTAGGAACTTTAAACAAGTCCATCGAGAAGGAATTCTTGTTATAAATGAATTTGGGAACATAAGCCTTACTGAATAAAAGCAGAATGCCACTCCTGTTATGAACGTTTCTGGGTTTATGGTGTGGGATTTCAGTGAGGGGGTGAAATGCTCCTTTGAGCCAGTCTGAAGGTTTTTCACAGTTTTCCTACACAGTCCACATAAATATCTAAACCACAGAGATTTATCGTCACATCAATTAATCCCCAGTCAGGCTTAGAAGCCCCTAGTGTTCCAACCCACCACACTGTGGGTTTTCAGGAAGTTACAGTATTTGTCACAGACATGTTTTCTGGACGGTCCTTTTTTCTTTGCCCTTTTCAAGTCTTTGTGTTCCTTTGTTTTTATCTGTGGACTCTTGAGTTTTATTTAAAATTCCAGATGGTTGACTGTCCTCAATTGAGTGTTTATTCTTTTTTTTTTTCCCCAGTTTTTTTTTTTAAGTAGCTGCCATAGTTTCCTTTATTAAGGAGTTTTAAAAATTAGTAGCCTATTATATATACAGTAAAAGCGAGCAGCTGTTGTACCTAATTGTAGAGTGTGAATAATAAACATTCTCACAGTTTGTGCCGCCTAGGTATAATTTCTTATAGAGCAGTAAAATCTTCTTAAAAGCTTTATCCTTGTCGTATTTTTATTTAAGTTAATGCTTGCTTATTTTAGGTTCCCCATGATTTTTACCTTAGCTACCCTAGTCACAGGGAAATTTCCGAAAGATTTCTGAAGGATGATTCTATTCGTATGTTTTTAAGGGTCAACCGAAAATTCGAAATGAAAAATAAGTGAGTTTAGCCATCCCCCGGATAACCATCAGGCATTTGAAAAAGTTTCATTATGTTTGGAGAGAAACTCAAGAAGCATCTTATTACAGGAGAAAGTAGGAGCGTTTCTCTGAGTCTCGAGATGGCATTTCCTGTCTCTCCTGTGACAGGAGAAAAGATCTGTGATGACTTCACTCCATGGGGCCCGGAGAAGTGTTTATTATCTTTTTTTCCGAGAGAACAATTGCTCTTTATGAAGCGCTCGGAGGCACACTTTTTAGATACACACTTGCTCACTGTCCAGCGAAGAAATGCTTTGCCATTGTTCATAAAACAGCAAACACATCTGGCAAGCCGGTTTGTTCAATTTTGTAACCGTTGAAGTAGCTTTTCCGACGAAAGGAGGGAAGATAGTGCCGCAGACGAATGGCAGCTGCTATCTAGGTCACGGTGTGCTCAGCGCCAAGGGAGGCTTTGGCTCCATCCGTTCGTTTCCTAAGGGATCAGTGGCGACCGCGTTTGTTGTGTGTGTGTGTGTGTGTGTGTGTGTGTGTGTGTGTGTGTGTGTGTGAGAGAGAGAGAGTTGTAGCCCATAAATTCTGGAGGAACACGTTATGAAAGAAAGATGAGAAGGAAAATCACCGACGCCTGATTTTTTTTCCCCCTACGTCACATGAAATGTTACCGTTACAAGTGGAGCTTTCAGAGACTTGGTTTAGTCTGACAGCTCTTGAGTGAAAACTCACCAATAAAGTCAAGGTCCACGTGGTGCTTGCAAAATAAATTCGTGCTTATTCAATAGATAAATGGAGGCGGGGCAAGAGACTTTATGCTGTGGGTTTTCTATCAGAATCCTCCCTCGTGCTGCCAAAAGGTGACCTTTTTTCAAAGACTGTCGTCTTCAGAGAAGGCTCCTGTGATGAGAAAGCCAGGCCACCGTTTCCTGCGCTGCCTCTGTCACTTTCTCCGTGTTCTCGTTGGCGGGTTTCCTCTCTCTACCCAGGGACCTTTTGTTTTGTGAAAATGTTCATTTTGAAGAGTTGCTGTAGAGCTGGAGCGTCCACCTACAGCACGGCTCTGATTTGGTGCTGAGGTTCTGTTTTTTTTGGGGGGGTTTTTTGGTTTTTTTTTGTTTTTTCCTTTTCTTTTCGGGGCCATCTTTGAATCCCAAAGTAAAATTTGGGGGAACGGTGAAATCCTCGCAGCAAACTGCAGGACACGGGGATCCTGCTTGCGAAATAGGGATCGTCCTCTTGACAGTTTGAAAGAAGTCGCGTTTCTGAATGGACGGGGACTCCCAGGACCCGAGGCGCCTCACTGAAGAAAGGGCCCAGCTGAGCCTGGGCCGCTCTGCTCTCCGGGAGCCTGTCCCTGGGTGTCCCAGTCTGCCTGGCTCGCTTCACCCCCCCCTGCCCCAGCACCTCCCTCGCTTCCTCCCTCCATTTTTTTCTAAAGGGCCAGTCTGTGGCTTTCAGAAAACCTGCTTGCACTTTCTACTTCCTCCGAAGTTCAAGGCTTTCCTAACTCTGCCCTCGGCTCTTTCTCTCATCCTTCTCCCGCGGGCCTGGTCCTTTCTTGCGTGTTTATCCCTACCCTCCGACGCCATCTCTTTTCTCCCTCGGATTCCTGTGTCTGTTTGTGGGACTCGAAGAAATGAAGCCCCCAGGGGGCTCCTCTGGGGTTCAGAGAAACCAAAACATTGCTGGATGGATGACACGTGCTGGGAAGGGGCGCTTAAAAGACAGAAGCATGACCTCGAGAGAGAGAGAGAGACAATTCCCTTATAAAGGAGCCCTGTTCTTGGGGGAAAAAAAAAAAAGTCTGATTTCGTCTTCTCCTCCCCAGCCTCCCAGGAGGCGGCTATCTGTTGTGACTCAGCCGAGCCATGGGTGCCAAGGACGTGGTGTGATTGGAAGCTCTGAGGGGCCCGCGTCGTCGCTGTCCCTTTCCCACTCTGCCTTCCCCGTAGCAGACCCCGCCACCCGAGCTTACCTGTCAGTCAGCACACAGCTAGCACATTCAGCCCAGTGACTGAAGGCAGGTCGTTTACTGAAAGGGGCATTTAGGACGTTGTGGAGGGCTTCCGGAGAAGCGGTAAGGGACAGTGAGGACGCCAGGGCTGATCACAGGGAGGAGCCACTGTGGCCCCAGGTCTCCGGGCAGGGGGTGCCGTGTGGAGCTTCACAGCGTAGCTCTGGGGGGGGCTGCCTGATCAGAGCTGTGGCCTGGGGTGGAGGGACCCCACCAGCCTAGAGCATCTGAGTTAGGGGAGGCTGCGGGTGTAAATTCCCGCCCTCTCCAGAGGGCGTAGCAAATCGAACAGAGCCAGAAGACGCCTGCTCAAAGGGTCACCCCGATGTCTAGGTGTCCCACAGCCCGCCCACATCGGGTTTGATGCATCAGCACATCCTGCTGGTGTTCCTGAACAAAGGACACCAGAATCTGACCCTCTGTCTCCACCTGCGCTGCTACCTTGTGGTCCCAGTCTGTCATCTCCAGGGGTGGAGAGAGCCTCCTACCTGGTACCTTCCTTCACAACGTGGCACTTCTATACTCGGAGTCGTCCGAGGCTCCCCAGCCTGTTCAGACAAGAAGCCCACAAGACCCTCCACGGTCTGCCTCTCTTCTTCTCCAACCCCTAATAGTCTTGAGGTTCATCCTGGTTTTGTCCCCTGGTGTCCTTGCTGGTCAGCGTCAGGCACATACCTGCCAGAGGGCCTTTGCAGATAGCAGGGAGGTGAATTTAAAGTTTCAAAGAGTCTAAGTAATGGAAACATCCATCTACACGACACTCTGACACAGATGTTTGTAGCAACATCGTAATAGCCCCAAGTGTCCGTCAGCCGATGAACGGATAAATGAATCGTGTTCTATGTATATACAGTAGAGTGTCGCTTGGTAATAAACAGGAATAAAGTACCGATACACGTGACAACGTGAATGAACCTCGAACGCATGATGCTGTGTGAACATTATGAAATAACGAAAGCATTAATACCAGTCCCAAAAGACCTCGTACTGTACAATTCCATTTATATGAAACATCTCAAATTGGCAAAACTATAGAGACAGAAAGTAGATTGGGTGGTTGCCTAGGGCTGGGGGGAACTGGGGGATAAGAGGGTGACAGCTAAGAGGGACAGGGTTTCTTTTGGGGGTGACAGAATATTCTAAAATTGATTGTAGTGATGGTTGCATAATTTTGTGACCATACTCAAAACCATTGAATTGCACAATATGAATGGGTGAATTGTATGGTACGTGAATCGCGTCTCAAAGCAATTAGAAATAAAAGATCTAAGTAATTCTCTTAGTAAAACATTCTCAGCATTTTTACAAGTGGCATGTGTAAGTCTTAAAATACAGTGTAGCTATTCCATTTTCATTTCTCCTTTATTTCTTAACTCTTAAATTTCTCGAGAGCACATCTGCTGGATATTCCGTATTTAACTATTATTTAAGTGGATGTGTTTTTTTTTGTTTGTTTTTTATTCTCCAGTGTTAGGATGAGAAAGAGCGTGTACTAATTAATCACTGGTGCGTTTCTCGCTTCTAGCACTTTCATGAAGGACGGAAGGCCCAACAGCACATAGAGACTTGCTGGAAGCAACTCGAATCTGTAAGTGAAAAACGAACAGCTCAGGAAATGTCTGGATAGGTTTTCTGATTAGAATTTAATTTAAGCTTGAATCAATCAGTGCAGAACAAGCAAAAACCGTAAAGAAATGTCTTTAGAAATTTTTCCAATTCCAATGTAATATTTCTAGAAACTTACCTAAGGTAAAATGTTAATCCAAAAGAGCTCAAGGAGAGTATTTTTCTAAAAATCCCATGGAAAGAACAAAAATTAGGCAGTTGAGGTGAACGTAAATGCAGATTTTAAAATAACTTCCTGAAATTATGACTTAGAACAAATCAGTTCAGAGAAGAAAACTCTTTCGGAGATTTAAGTAAGATTGTATCTGTTGATAGGATCTCATGGTTTCGTTAATAACTACTTTCCCCACCACCACGTCCCTCTGCTTTTAGAGTAAAAGACGATTTGAGCGGGATTGCAAAGAGGCTGACCGGGCACAGCAATACTTTGAGAAAATGGATGCTGACATAAACGTTACGAAAGCAGATGTTGAAAAGGTAAGGTGAAAGTGAGTTTTTCATTTCCCCTTTTCCGATGCTAGTCACATATCCTCCCAGAGGGTCGGTCCCCAAGTTCTCCTTTTGATGCAGCCACAAAAGGCCACTCAACTTGGGATCATTTTCAGTTTGCGTCAGCTGTCACGGGGACCAGAAGCGAACGCTCGGGGACTCTACAGTGTTAGGATTGAGCAGCTTGCGTATTTGTTCAGCCACCGGGATGATAACATGGAGACTTAGACCCCGAACGCACCGTGGGGAGTGGTGTTTGGAGAGTGTGGCTTTCTCTTAATGGCTTTCAAAGAGAAAGTCGCCCCCTGCAAAGCTGGAGCAGACCGTTCAGTGGCCAACGGGAAGAGCTTGGCCGCTTAAAATGCCTTAGTTAGAAAGATAAAGAGCCCCCCACTACTGGCCTGACTTCTGATTCATTCGGGTTGATAGCAGGTTGTGTAGTTGAAGGCTGGCATTTGTAAGTCCTCTCAAAAGCTTTTCCCTAAATGGACTTGTATTGGCAATTAGGAATACTATAAAGCTTGTACTGTATCTTCTTGTGGTTTCGTGTGTGCTTTTCCCCTAGAAGCTGAATTTTCTTTTTTATAAAAGTCATCAAATGTGGTATAAACAAAATTAGGCTGTAAAATAACAGTATTCATTGGTTACTGCCCACGGCTGTTTTGGCATGAGCAGGCTCCTGCTTTACTGAAGGAAGAGCCTTGCCTTTTCATGGATTTCTTGTACTTTTGCCAGATTAGTTGGAGATGAGATTAGTTGGCATATAGCGTGAATTAGTTATTTAGTTATTTGCCGAATTCTGCCAGATTTCTTACTTAAAGCGTGGGTATATATATTAGTATGCCTGCGTCTAAAATTATCTAATATAGTAAAATACACATTCTCAATATCTATATTTGATCGTGAGTGGGGATATTTACTTTACCAAACGATGTACTAATATGCTGGAAAAATTGCCATAAATTACCATAAAATTGTCAGAAGTCCTCATTAAACGGCAACTCCCCAAACTATTTAAAACGTTATTCAACTAAAATAGATTGACTCAAAGTTTATCAAACAAACATTTGAGATTAAAAGCAGTGTATGTGTCCCAGAAACACATCTAGCTCAAATGTATGCATTCTTCGTCAAATATTTTATTATCCTAAATGTAAAATTGGAGTGCTTTTTATTCATCGAAAGATTTTTTAAAGGAAATTACTTCTGTGGCCTTTCCTAAGTATAAAAGCTGTCCACCCTCATTATAGAAGTATCTGAAAATATAAAGAATGTAAAGAGGGAGAAAAATATTAAAACATCTAACTATGATTAATAAAAGGTACTTTACTTTTCAGAGCCTTTCCTCGAAAAAATTCTGTATGCTATATATGTAGTGTGAAGAATGATAACAAAGGTATATCTATCTTAAGAAATAACATCTTATTGGTGCCTTTGAAGTCTCCCTCCCTAACCTTATTCTCCGTACCCCCACCTTACAGTAAACTTCATCCTAAATTTGCATTTAGTCATTTCCTTGCTATTCTTCATAGCTTTGCATGTCTCCCAAGAGTATATTTTATAATTGTGCCCCTTTTTTCACCTTTATTATAAACAAAAATCATACTTTTATTTTAATTTCTTCTGACTTGATTTTTTTCATTCAGTGTTATGTTTTTTATTTAATTCACGTGGAGTATGGGACACATGACTTTCATATATTAATATTAGAGCCCAATGCCTTGGTAAACTCTTTTTATTTCTGTTTTTGGGATTTCTGTAAAGATAGTCCTATCGCCAGCAAATTATGACGGTTTTATTCCTTCTTTTTTAATCTTTAAGCCTTTTATTTATTTTTCTTATCTCGCTCTGCTGTTTATGACCTCTATTACACTGGTAAAGCAGTAATCATGGACTTCCTTATCTCGTGCTTGATAATAAAGAGAGTGCTTTAGCGTTTCCCCATTAAGCATGATTGTAACATACACTTTATCAGGTTAAGGGATTGTCCCTTTTCTTGTTTTGTCAAGAGGTTTTTTTTTTTAAGCCTGATACCGAACGTCATCAAATACATTTTCTACTTCCTTTCATCCATTAATGTGATAGATTATATTCATCAATTTTCTTACATTCAACCAAATTAGCATTCCTGAGACAATTCCAACTAGGTTATGATGATTATCCTAAATGTTGTGTGTGTGTGTGTGTGTATGTGTGTGTGTGTGTGTGTACATACATATACATATATGTATATACACATACATATATATAACTGAATTTGTTTCGTTAATATTTTAGTCAATATTTTTGTATCAGTAGTCACTGAAATTGGTCTATAATTTTTGTTGTCTTAGTTTTTTTCTAAATAATCAACATTTTATAAGAGATTTCAAAAATGAGTAAAAATGTGTTTCAATTTATGCACATATTTACTCTTCCCAGTGTTTTGCGTTCCTCTTTATAGATTCAGATTTCCATCTAGTATCAATTTTTTTTTTTATCCTAGAGAACTTTCTTTAACATTTCTTCATAAGCAAGACTGCTGGCAATGAGTTATCTCAGCCTTAATCTAAAAAGATATTATTCTGCTTTCATTTTTTGAAAGATACTGGATATATAATTCTAGGTTGCTGGATATATAATTCTAGGTTGGTCGTTTTTCCTTTCATTTCTTAAGGCTGTCATTGTCCTACTTTACTTGTTTTGGATTGCTGCTTTTTTCTAGTTTCTGAAATAATATATGTGAGATGAAATGAACCGTTCTTAAATGTTTTGTAATACTGCATTGTGGGAAAGTTTCTAACTACTGTCTGCTTCTTTGGTTGACCCTGGGGTTATATGTTTCTAGAAATATATCTATTTCATCATAAGTTTTCAAAAGTATTGGCTAAAAGTTGACTGTAATAGTCTCCCTTAATTTTTGCTGCATATGTTGTAGCCCCTTATTTATTCTTACTATTGTTTATTTATACCTTTTTTCCTTCTGGGGAGGAAACTGTTTTTCTAAAAAAAATTTTTTTTACAATTTTCCAAGAACCAAAATATATCTTTGTGGTGCTTTTCTTTCTTATTCGTATTTTCTATTTCATTTAGTTTCTTTTTTCTTCTTCTTCATCTGTCTTCAGATTTATTGTATTGTTCTTTAAATTTTTCTTTCTTCAGATGCTTACTTCATTTCAGCTTTTCTCCTTTTCTAATATAAGTACTTAACAGATTTCCCATTTAAGTACTGATTTATCTGCAACCCAGAAATTTCGACATATAGTATTATTATTGTTCTTTATTTCCAGACATTTTCCATTTCTCAGTGCTTTGATTTGTAGCCTGGATATTTTCACATATGTATTCAACCTAAACTGTAAAGTAAATTGGGATCTTTACCGATGTCCTTGTAAATTACACGTTCGCTAAAACCAGCTCCTTTTTGAGTATTGCAATCGATTTGGTTCCACTACACAAATTAGGCTTTAGTAATTTTACACAGTTCTATAAGTAGACTTTCCATGTTCTTTGTTCGCCATTTCTTTTCATATCTGGGATCTTATTTCTTCTTTCCAAAGGACCCTTTAGAAGTTCCTTTAGCAGAGATTTATTACAATAAAATCTCAGTTTTTGTTTTGACTGAGCTCTCTTTATTTTACTCTCATTCTCGAAAGCTGATTTCTTGATGCATGCAATCCAAGGTTGAGTCTCTTGCACCTGGAGGAACTTATTCTACCATCTTCTGACTCTCATTTGTGGTTGAGAAGTCAGTATAATTCTTAATCCTTTGAAGGTAAGCTGTCTTTCCTTCTCGCTAGCTATTAAGATTTTTTTTTTTTTTTTTTTTTGGTCTTTGTTCTTCTGAGATTTCACTGTGACATACCTAGGTGTAGATTTCTTTTTTTAGCTTCCTTTTGGTTTATTGGGCTTATTGACTCCAGATTGGAGTTTCCTAAACTTGTTTATCCCTCATTCTATTATTTCCTCTAGAATTTAGATTATAAGGTATAAGTTAAAACTCCTACTGTATGTCTTCTACACCCATTAACTTTTATTTATATCTCTCATCTCTTTGTCTCTCTTTCTGCTATGTTCTGCATAATTCCTTCAGATATGACTTTCATTTCACGAATTCTCTCTTAAGCTCTGTCTAACCTGTGATTTAACACATCCGTTGAGTTTACAATTTTGTTCGTTAAATTTTTATTTCTAGAGGTTCCTTTCAGTTCTCCTTAAAATCTATATTGTCATTTTGTTATTTTCTTATTACTTTGTCACATTTTTGTACCATGTTTTGCTTTTTTAAACACATATTGAACATACTGATTTTATAGTTCCTATTTGATTGATTTCAGTATCTACAATCTCTGTGGGCCTAAATCTTCGGTTTGTTGTTCCTGCTTGTTTGTGGTGACTTGCTTCTTCGTGTATTTTTTTGGGGGGGGGCGGTAAGGCAACCCTTGGATGACCTCACAGATTGCAAGGACCTTGTCAGCTTATAATCCCTTATTATTATTATTTTTTTACACCTACAGCACCTGGTCTTTCTAGGGGGTCTCCCATCCAAGTACTAAGCAGACCCAACCTTGCTGAGCTTCCAAGATCAGACGGGACCGGGCTTGTTCTGGGGGGCAGGGCCGTAGACCCCAATCGTATTTTTACGGTTTTATTTCATCGTAGTGAGAACACTTAACGTGAGACCTGCCCTCCCAACAGAATGTTAAGGGTGTCATACTTAAGTGTTAGGTACAGGTTACAGGCAGATGTCGACGGCTTTTTCATACTGCCTAAG